ATGCATAGAAAGTGCTAGTTGGCTCTTGAGTTTCTTGGGAAACAACGGCTGATATTCTAGTGAGACGTAAAGGCTCTGGGCAGAAACTGGCTGGAAGCAAGTATAAAGAATGCATAAAGCAGATAGAGAGCAGATACACAAAGCTGCCTCATTGCAACAGTTCTTTTGTGAGTTATTAGGCCCCTTTTCCTTCTGGCAAACGATGACACTGTGTGGTGCAGGTTCCAAATACACCTTGAACTTAGTGTAACATGTTGAAGACTGGCTTTTCTCTTTGCCTCTGTTGTTGGTAGCAATCATCCAGAAATCATTGGTGTCAGCGGCCTGTCCTATTAAGTTGTTTTTCAGCATTGTCTTGCTTATCCAAACAATATTAGGACAGGAAAGAAGGTGAAGGTGTCTGACTAGGATACAGTTAGTTACCAAGCATGGATTCAACATGGGACACCTGAAATCTTCCTTGTGTGAACCACTGAGTCACTCTGTGCCTTTATCTTAAAACAGAGCTGCAGACATGAGCTAGTTAACATGGGGCCAACAGGCAACCTAGAACTAAGCAACTTCCACTTCAGCAAAGGAATAAGATTGTTTTAATTCAGTTCAACCAGTACATGATACTCCAGTCTGTCACTGTTACCTGTCAGAGCTGAAAATGTCAGGCAGGAACATTTTGCAAGACAGACTGAAGCAGCTTTGTGAAACCCATTTACTTACTCTAGTGAGCAGAAAAGCAAGAAATACTCCTAACTTAATTGTTCTTGTTTTCAGTGCCATGGATTTTCAAGACATTGAAGCCTGGCAAATGAAGACATTCTTTTACACAATACATTATGTATCCTTGGACTTGGCAGAGCAAAGGAGACATTTATTTGGAATAGTGGGCAGATCTTAAGTATTTGGGATTTGACTAATCTTACAGAGTACGTGAAGCCTCAAAAACATAAGACAGTGAATCTGAATGAACATTAACTGTGGAAACTGGGATACTCAACTTTCCCTGCCCTGTGAGGAAGAGATTGGCTTAGCCTCAGCCTGTGTAAATTAGAAGTCATCTATATGATGCTCCAGGTCTCAACTCTTTGCAGCAGAGACTGTCTGCTCCTCTCCAGATGGAAATCTTGGTGGTCACTCTCATTGGAAAATACTAAACAAAGAGGACAGTGGGATGCATATGCATCCCTCAAAGATTTCAGTCAGGACACATCAATGAACAGGTCAGTGTGGTCCACTGGACGTGACTTTGAGGGAAAAATCATGGCACTCCACCTTGTTCTCACTTCCCATCTGACAACCTTCTGCTCTCTGTTGTGCTCCTACGTATTTCACATGGCAGAGTCCTGATTGCAGGATGATTTTTTATGTGATGATAGATGGCAAGCACTGGGAAATCTCTTGCAGCGCTGGTGCTTTTTAGATAGACAGATACATTCAGCCTCTGTGGCTGCAGCTCTTTTACCAGCACCAAGTTCACTTTAAATAACATAAAAATATGGGCTGCTTGAATCTGTACTCCCTTTTTTTTCCCCTCCTAGAGCTCCTTCTATGGTTTTTCAGACTTGTCAGTCCAAATGCCCATCAAGATGACAAGTGCCTATGACCCTGTTTGCAATAAGGGAACAGGGCGGTTTTCATGCAGAAATTCTCTGAGTGAGCCAAAGAAATTGTGTTTGTTTTTTCTGGCAAATGTGACAGAAGCAGTGGTGTGGCTGGGACTAGGCTTGCCCAGTGCTCAGCTCTGAGTGCTGTTTAGAGTCACTGCACAGAGAGAGCTCTTTTAGCATCTATTTGATGACAGAAAGGATGAAGGTGACACCAAGACTTCATTATTCTAACCTTTGTCTCTCACAGGCAGGAGTACTGTGCTCCAAAGGTGACTGTTCTGTCTAACCAGACGTTGCCACCAGCATGCTGACTTTCTCCTCTTCAGCTTTCAGATTCAGATTATATTGCCACATCAGGATTTATTGGGAACTGGATGACTAATACATTTGTGCCAGCCTGTGCACAGCTTCACAACAGCCCCTTACCTGCCACCATGAAACCTCAACAGATCTAAAAGGACTGAAAAGATCCTGTGTAAATCTCGCAGCCTCAAAGGAGAGATGGCACAAATGACCCTGTTGGTTCAAGTTATAAAGTAAGTGTACAGGTAGGGCTGGGCAGCAAGTGTGTGCAGTGGAGATCTTCAATCTTGCTGGTCTTGCTCAATTTAAAGGGTGTTTTTCAAAAGGTTTCAGAGTTCAGGTTTTGTTGCAATAAACGTCCCACGTATTTGAACCTCATGAGACTGCAAACCTCAGCCACCAGCCTCACGTGACTTTCTTATGAGATTTCCAGCTTTTCTGCTGCTCGTCTTGGCTTGAAGTACCATGAGAAGATTTTTTTCATGGTGTTTCAACACTTTTAGTTTCAAATTCTAGGCTTTACTGAAAAGAAGATCTAAGAAGAGCTTTAGGAGTGGGCTGGGTTTCTTATTTAAACTAAAAGCAGGATGAGGCTATAGATTTGCTGTCCATGAGGGCATGCTTTTGGAAATAAATAAGGTTTTGAGTCCAGGGATTTGATTTGTATTCTTCTCTAATTTTAACCTGTTTGGGACATTCTGTACCTTTCTTATGCAGCATTCATGAGGCAGAATAAAGAACTGTTTTCTCCAGCTGAAGTGTTCTTAGTTATTACAGCAGAAAAAAGATGCTGATGTTACCAGATCTTTTACACCTTTCTTGTTTGCTGATACAGATCCATCAAGCTGATGTTGTCTGAGTCCATACTAGTGAATCTGCCCAAAGGCACGATTCTTACTTTTACAGGTTTTACTTTTGACCCTGCAAGGTAGCAGGGTCTGTAAATGGGCACTTTGGGTTCCAGGGCTACTGATATTACATGATAATGCATCGTGAACGGGGCCACATGCAGGGGGAAATGAGGTGGCTTGTTCTGCCTCACAAAACACAGACTTAGCTCCATCTACTCCCTTCTTTCACTTTGAGCTCCACATGTATTTACAGTGGCAGTGCTTGATTAGTCTCCTGACCATGTGTAGATGTGAAGTGCATTTACCCTCCGAGGTTGCTTTCTGCTTCCAGAACTGTGCAAAGCAACAGCATTGCAAGAACTCCAAGGATCAGATTTTACTTTTGACAGTTTTCTTATACTGTCCTAGCTGCAGATAGGGGCTTGCAGGAGGAGAGAGAGCTCATTTGTGCAGAAATAACAGACACAGGAGACTGAAATTCTCTTGGCATTGGGGACCTAATACTGGATGAGAGATGAATAAACAAGGATTTCTCATCAATACCCAAGGTGTCCTTTAAAGGCCCTACCCTTAGAAGCTAACATTATCTCAAGCAGTTTCCCTTTTCGAGCCAGTAGGTATTCAGCACAGGAGCTGACACTGAGACATGAGTAAAGGCTTATGTGTTGTTTCAAGAAGCTGCATTCTTACTTGGCAGGCTCAGGAGGAGTTATGTCAAGAGCTGCTTATTTCTAATATTGTACAGAGAATTCCTCCCACTATTTCTTCCAGATGCTGCACAGCTCATTTATTTATTTATTTGGATTAGCTGTATTAAAATATAACATGCTTCCAAATGCTTTCCTCCCAAATTCCCAAAGGATGGCCCTTTCTCATGGGGATGTACATCCTTAAGACATTTAACTTGCTTAACTCCCACTGCTCAGAAGGAGGGTAAAGTTCCTGACTCCAGGGTGCCCAGGATCTCATAGAAAGCTTAGAGCACTTGGTATTGAAGGAATCAGAAAAGGAATGTAGCATAACACTGGGCAGGGAGACAGCAAAATGTCTGCAGCTTTTCCAGTGGCTGTGTCACTGGTCTGACTAGCAAGCACCTGAGCAAGGAATTACTGAGTCTTTAAGCAGGTCCCTGCTGGACTCAGAACAAGGAAAGCAAATGGATGAATCAAAGTGACCTCTTTGAGCCTTATTTGATGATGATTTCTCTAGTTTTAAATGTTATTAGACCTGCATCAGAGCACAGAGACCTTCCAAACAAACCTGGGATGCATGCAGCTTTGGGTTTGTTTGTTTGGAGATTTGGGAGGTTGGTTGTACAAAAAAGCAAAGTCCTGGTTGGGCTTTGAGGGTAGGGGGAGTGCAGCCACTTGGACCAAGTTCCCCTTGGCAATGGAGTTTACCAAATCCCACAGCTCAAAGGGAAACTTAGAGCCACTCCAAGCAGGGCAGGAGCTGGGAGAGTGGTTTTGCTATGCCCTGTGAGCTGAAGTGACTGTCCTTTCCAGACAGGTTGAGGACGAGCAGCCTCGTGGGCATTACAGAAGACCAATTCCCCACCTGGTGCAGCCCAGGAATGAAGACCAAAGAGGCCACCCAGCTGAAGATGCAAATCCAAAGAGCTGCCTGTTGTCTTCAGCAAGGCGTGTGGGACTTCACCAAGAGCCTCACCAAGAGGCAAGACATGGTAGGAAAACATTGTTGTCCACAGTCCCTTAATGAAAAGTAAGCAGAGATCTGTAAACACTGTCCCAAGACCTGAGCCTGACACCCAACCTCAGCTGTGCCAGCTGGTGTATCGAGGTTTAACTTGGGGGGGGGGGGTGCAGAATCACAAAATGACTCTAAACTTGGAGCTGTCTGAAAGTATCAGCACGGGCTCTTTGTAGTTTGCTCTTTCTCCCCCATCACACTTAAATCATAGCAGTAGGAACTTCAAAACAGGGGAATACAGTGAAAAATAAAGCCTTTAAATGCCAGGCAAGTGACTTGCAGGGGCCAGTCTCTTGGAAGACTGAAGTGTGCTCACCATCCACTGAAGCCATTCACTATCTTCAAGGGGCTTTGTTCAGGCTACCAGCACTTAAAGACATCACTCAGAAGATTTGGTCCTGTTTTACGGTATGCTGTTTGTTTCCCCTGTATCCTTTCAGTTGTGGCATTTACTTCTACTTCCCAATCAAAAGAGCAACATCCCATTAGCAGAGCCACAAGTCTGCAGCCTGTGCTGCGGGGCACGTTCGGTCCCTTAGACGTCCTCCCCATTTTCACTGAGGGACATGGTGTGTATTTTAATGGTTGGCACTTTGCAGTTTTCATGGACAAGGTTCCTTGAAGTGCCTGCACAGCAGCATTCCTGGAGGAAACCTTTACTTTTCACTTTGGCAGCAGTACAGTCTTTAGAAACTGCATTTCTGGCAGGCATGCTCTGCACAGCCGAGAAAATCTTCCATTCACAGACCCCATCCGACTTGGAGATCTTATAGAAGGTTTCTCCTGAGCCAGCAGGGATCCGGACCACACCTTTGCCACTTTCTGTGCTTTGGCCAGTGGGATGGTTGAGGTTGAAGCTTGGGGATTGCTTCTTTGTTGCTTGCTTCCTCTGGAGGCACTGCGCTCTCAGGACATTTTGGAAGGCTTTCTTAAACTCTTGGCTTGAGCAGGGATAGATGATGGGGTTGATGCAGCTGTTTAAATAGCCAAGCCAAAATGTTATTTTAAAGAGTGTGTCCGGGGGTTTGATTGCAGGAAAGAAAGAACCTAAAATGGAAAATACACAGAGTGTTAAGGCAGAGGCAGTGGGAAACTGCAGGTAAACACTGGGGGGAAAAAATGAGAGTCTTTTCTGGCTTGGAAAACTTGTAACTCAAAGCCCAGTTCCTGCAGGAACAGAATATATAGTGTCATACAATGACATGGATGTTCTGTCAGAAATCAATTCATCTCATTTATTATACAAGCACTGTATGCCCAGTTACAGTCAGAGAGGCAGGCAAGAGGACTGCTAACAACTCACAGAGGAAAATTGCTTCCTCTGGGACTTCTAATTCAAGATTAGCTAGCCAAATAACAGTCATGTCTGGAGGTCATCAAAAGGGGTTGCAAAAAGCAAGAAAATCACACCATTTCAGAGAATTAAGTGGTAACAGCACTTCTAAGACTAATTTTGCAAAATGAATCTAGAATCAGAGAAAGAAGAATATTTGCTGTATGTTGTCAAGGGGAAAGGCTGTTTCTTACCTCTTTTAAAAGAAAGGGGGAAAAAAAGAAGTGTTTCAATCATCCCAATGTCAGGATTAGTTTGAGCACACGAAGGAAAATAATTTCTCAGGAGATGTAGTTGGCTTGGTTTGGATTTATAGTCAAGTTTATAATAAGCAGGATTTTTAGCACTGACAAATGCTTGTCTTTCTGCTTCCCACTGGAAAATGTAAGCGTGTGCATGGTGCAAGAAATCCTGGGGAAGCTGTAGGCATCGATGCATTTGTCACCCTCTGCAATTTAACTACATCTCTAAGCAGCTCCTAAGCTTTACAGGGATTGATCTGCTTGTTGGACATCCCCTGACTGAGGAAAAGCTAATACTGCAATCAGAGGTGTTCTAACTGAATTCTGAGAGCTGCTCGCATCTTGCTCTTCCCATCTTTGTCAAGCAAAGCTCCAGCAAGTGCAGCAAATGCTTTCAAGTGGTAAAAGCCAGAGAGGAATTCCCAGGCTGGTTTTGCTTGTGTGAGAATGTACCAAAATATTGCCTGAACCAGAGACACAAATAGTGGGGTGTGATTAATGACTCGCTCATTTGCTGAACACGGTCTCTCAGTGAAATGTGCAGCAATGTCTTCTTGCCATGGCACCAGCTCCTGCTCTGTGAGTGGAGCTGGTGGGCACAGAGGAGGTGCTGCTGTCAGGAAAGAAATTGGAGATGTGGTGGGGTGAGAGGCCTGTCAGTGATCTCTGGTTTGGGAGAGGTCCCCTAAAACCCAGGCCATCTGGCATATGGAGGAGCAGAGGTCCCCTAAGACCCAGGTATATGGTGGAGCATCAGAGAAGTGAGACTGGGTCAGAATTCCCACAGGCAGGGCACAGGAGCTCTTTGTCTTGGAGCCACTGAAGCTCTAATTCCAACACCAGTTACAACCTGGGCATCAAGCATGAGTCTTATTCCCTCCATGATTGCTCCTGCATTGCTCTGAGTAGCAGGGTAGAACAGTTTCACTATTAGTTTCAATATCAACCAGTTCTTCAGACCCAAAATGTTGTGCTAAAGAAAGCAAACACTGTTTTGCAGTTCAGCATGAGTGAGCAGGCTTAGCCACAACCTAGATTGGTTTTTGCAGCAAATAAATGCTGCATTCCTTTAGTGAAAAACAACTAAACAACCTTCTCAAAGAACTTTCTGGCTGAAGTCATTGGCAGATGAAAAATAGAAAAAGACTTCTAAATACCCAAATCTTGCTCCTTTTTTCCTTTACTTCCTTCTTTAATTGCAGCGTATCCACCACTTTCCCATTTTGTGCAAAGACAAAAGGTGGAACAAATCTCAGTTGAGGGAATCAGCTCTGTGAGGCTGAGTGTAAAAATGGGTAAACAATAACAATTCCTGTTTGCTGCAACTTGTGTCTCACTAAATGGAATGTCAGTGCCTTGCCAAAGTCTGTTATAAATAGAAAATAGCCAGTGTCAGAGTCTGTCTCTTGCTCTCTTTTTGGGGTGGGGATCTGCATGCTAATTTATTGATGTAACCTTTTTTGGTTCATCAGAGTAGAGAGCTGTTGCCTTGGAACAACACACAGTGAGAAGAAAACCAAGTAGCTTTAACAGCATAAAACCAAGTAGCTCTAACAGCATAAACCCAAGTACCTTTAACAGTATAAAACCAAGTAGCTCTAACAGCATAAAACCAAGTACCTTTAACAGCATACAGACATTGCTACCTGTAGGCCCCATCTTTTACACTTCCTTTCTAAACATGCTGTCTTTAACACTTTCGTTCAGCGGTGGGTATGCTGGGCTTTAGGACAGTAGATTTGCTCTGCTTTGCATTTGGTTGTGATGTTTCATCAGTTTAGACCAGCTAAAGCTCTATTTCCAGGTTTCATTATACCTGTGTGTTGTCCTGTGAATGAAACAGTATGAATGTCAATAGAAAGAAATACTGTCAGTAGCATCTTGGAAGGGCTGAGGCTGGAACTGACAGTTGATGGATCCAACACGTAACAGAGCTAGAAATGAAAGCAGAAATAATTTGGACCCTCTTCTTACTTATGCCAACAGCTTATTCAGCTTCCAGAGCAATATAAATCATGATCAGTGTGTCTAAACCTTGAGCTACTGAATTATTATGTAGGGTGCAAAAAAATGTTTTATCTCCTGCATGGTCTGTGTCTAATGAGCACAATCCTTCTGTATATTGCAGGCCTGTGGTGAGGAACTATTGACATGTTGGCATTTGCTTAGTGCCTCTCTGGAAGTGTGATTCAAAGAGGCACAGAAAGGAATGCCCTTCTTTTGCAGGCACCTTGTTACTTCTGTAGCTCAGAAACTTCCCCTAATCTTTTCTGTTGGCTACCTGAATATCTGGCAAAAGGGGGAAAATATCATCTTCTCCGAGTCCTTGCTGAATCATGTTCCTCCCACAGAATATTAAGAATGTCTTCTTTTCTTCCAGGCATTCAATATTCAGTGATGGTGCTGTCATGATTAATACCAGTGGTTGATGTGTCTGGTAGCAAGTGGGAGTTGTTTTCAAACAGTGCTGCTAAGCCTGGTGATGAAGTGTTTTGGTGAAGCTTTGCAACAGGCAGCAGTTGGCAGCTCGAGTCAGAGGAGTTCAAAGTAGAAACCAAAGAAAGGATTTTGGGTTGTTTTTAAACAATGCCCATAATTAACCAGGAGATTCAATGATGAAGCAGCGTGGTGAACTCTCTCTTCTTTAAGGTATATGGTATAAGATTGTTTCCTGTATAAGGCAACTTACTCTTTATCCTAATTCACAGGCCTTAATGCCTTCCCCAGCACGCTGTCAGGAGTAAGATGGTAAATAGCAGCAAAACTGACTACAGTTTAGAGGCTTCATCTTATGTTGTCTCCTTGCAGTTTGTGCTGGAGGAAGAGTAAAAAAACTTCAGTTGATCTTTGAATGCCTTTGAATTGTAGATTGTCTAAATGATGCTGGAATCCCTGCTTTGTTTTGGAAGGTTGAGGACTCTCCAGTGTCAGTAGCACAATTCAATTGCTTGTTATATGAAAATTAAGTAAAACAAAATATACTGTTAGCCTCCTGAGGTCCTCTGCTGTTAAGTATTTCATCACTCACCCCTGAAAATGTCAGGACTGCATTCCCATGCCTCACCATTTATTTTCCTATCTGTCAGCTCAAAGTTTCTTTGGATGTGAGTTTTTCATCTACCTCCTGGTGAGTAAGTGCCAATTCGGTCACAAAGATGTAATTTGACTTTGTCATTTGACAGAAGTTACAGAGCTGCTTGATTATAGGTTGTTTAAAAACCAGTACTGATGTCATGTGTTGTTTCACTGATGGACAGCAAGGAAGGATTTAGACACTGCCAGACTACAGAGACTTGTGTTGTTTAATCTGTATTATCTCTGTCAGCACCATGGGAATCAGATCCCGTACATTATTGTGCCCCATGGACCCACAGTAGTGTTAAAATCCATCTCTGCTGCTAAATCGTGCAGCTCTGTTTAGGTTTGATGCTTTTTTCCCCTTTTGATGTTGTATGGCCCAAATGTGGTGATTGAGTCAGAGCACAGGAAAAGGCAGGCAGGGCTGTATGTATGGCACATGGGTGAGATCAGGACTGTATCCACATGTGATGAGAGGCCAGCAATAACCTGGAAAGCAGTCACGCCTGTGGATTCAGAGCTTGCAATACCTAGAAGTCAGCAGCTGGAGAGTCCACTCAGGAGACAACAGCAGTGCCTTTTGTTATATTATCAGGGCTTAAAGTGTTATCAGGAATCAGAAGTTCCCATTTTAAACCTTGCACAGAAGCGGAACAAAAATCCCAGCATCTCTTGCCTCCAACATATAGGAAATACACCTTTGTATTCCCAGCAAACTGGAAGCAGTGGTCTGGTTTAGAGGGAGGCAAAGCTTAAAACTCAGGTCCTGGGATCTTCTTAAAGGGGTCAATAGCAGCAGCTATTCCAGAGTAATTGCCCCAAAGACCCAGAGGATGAAGCACAGAAGTAGCACTGATGTGGCCACAGAGGTTAACACTGTACTGGAGCACCCTGGCTCTCTCACGAGGCAGTCTGCTCTACAAACATTGATGAATGTGTTGCATTTTGTGTTCCCAAGCTCAGTGTTAGCACTGAACTTTATTCCATAAGACTGGCATTCTACACTGCATTTTGGGTCAAACCAGAAACCACCCTCTGGAAAGTGTATTTATATATATTCTTATAAATACATATGTATTGGTGCAGACATTCAACAGCTGTACTCTGTATGTACATGCTCTCCCAGCACGTCTCACCCTGCTGCTCCCTTATGGAAAGTATTTTCTGTGGGAACAAAAAATGGGATCAAAGAACCCTTGAACAGTAGGAAACGCCTCAGGGTTTTGTACAACCAACTCAAGGCAGCAAATGCAGAACAGTGGTTCACAGATGTGAGCAAAGGTAAAAGCCTGCATCTGGCAAGGCTTGAACACTTACAGCTGTGCCTGTCCCAGGGCCTGGAATATTCGGGGGGGAATATTGAGGGGGAAAATGAGAGTGACTTTGTGCCTGGG